CTCTGGGCTTGGGCACTGTCCCTCAGCTCTTCAGCTCAAGGCTAGCGCTCTACCACTTGAGCCACAGCGCCACTTCCAGCTTTTTTTCTTTGTGCTTCTGTGGTGCTGAGGAATCGAACCCAGGGCCTCATGCATGCAAGGCAAGTGCTCTACCACTAAGCCACCTTCCCAGCCCCCCTCTTCTTCTTTTTTATTTGCATATATTAGTTAAATGGAAAGCGGGTATTTCACTATGACATTTCCATGCATTTATACAATGTATTTCCATCACCCCTCTATCACTCTTCTTTTCCTGCCCCCCTTTCTAAAACAATGTCAATAGGTTTCAATGTTCTGTGTCTATACATACATTCTACTACTATATTCATATTCATCCTTATTTACTTTCCTTGTTAGTCCAACCCTCTCCAACTAGTATCCCCCACTAACAAAGCCAGTTTCCCTACTACCACCCTCCTTATTTAGCCCATATACACTTGTGGCTACCAATTTCTATATAGCCAAATTCATTGCCATGGTGTGGGTGTGGCTTGAATGTCCCCCAGAGGTCAATTTCCTTTGGAAATTTGGGCCCAGGACAGCACTATTGCCAATTGCAGAGCATCTAAGAGGAGGAGGCTGAGGGGAAGTCATTTTGAGATGTATTCATTTACCTAGTACTACATACTACCATTGCTGCACAGACTATTAGTTGATACAGCCAAGGGACAGCCCTTGCCAGATCCTATGTTACTGGTTTTTGGATGTTTTTCAGTCTCCAAAACTGTGAACTTAACAGACTTCTCTTTTTTTTTCCTAAGTAGCTAGATGTCAGGTATTTCATTATAGTGATTGATACATTCACTGACTCTAATACGTCTCCATTTCACTTTTCAACTTACTTTATTTAAGCCTTTGATTTCTCCACCCATTGAAACTGCCCACAAAGGTCACTGCAATACTTTAACGGGTTTCTAGAATGTAGTTTATTAATTTATCATGTTCATTAATTATTGCTTTTCTTCATCCACCAGAACTTCTGCTTCTCAAAGCCCAGAGATTTCTATTGGTTTTCTAGTGTTCCTTACATATCTAGAACAATGTGTGGCACATACATTTCTGTTAAATTTAATTGGTTGGTAATCATTACCTCTCACACAAAGAGTAGCAAGTGTGGCTTTCCCCAACCCCTAAAAAAGGTGAAGAAGTAAGCAAAAACTATAATTACATAAAGAAACATCTACTCTCATAATGGGAATATTCATTTTATGAACTAAATTTTATAGGAGGCCATTGGTTGGACTGAGTTCCTGCCTAATGCCTAAAAACCTGTGCTAATATTCCACGTCATCAAGAAGAATTTATTTACATAACCTTCCAAGAAATCAGGGGTGAGATAATAGCCAAATCCCTTACCAAATAATTCTGATATCTCTTTTTTGGCCACTTGAAATATAAAGCTCTATTTTCATTTTTCTCTGATCTAATAATTCTACATCTAGATCACTGAACCACAAATTATAACACTGCACAAGTATGTATGCCCAAGAATATTTATTGCAACAATATTTATGAAAGCAATCTAGAAGTCCAACAACTGAAACAGATTTAAATAAAGTATAAAACAATCATACCATAGAATATTGTTCAACCATTCAAAATCATGTTTTTGTAAAATATTCAATGATTTGGGAAAATGCTTAGGACCTAAAGTTTAGAGAAAAATGAGGATATAAAACTTAATGCCAGTGGCTTACCTATAATTTCTAGCACTCAAGAGGCTAAGATTTGAAAATCTGTTAGAAGCCACCCAGGGCAGACAAATCTTTGATGCTCTTATTTCCAATTAAACAACAAGAAGTTGGAAGTAAAGGTATGGCTCAAATGGCAGAATAACAGCTCTGAATGGGAAAAAACCAAGCAATAAAAGGCTTGACATTCAATTCCCAGTACTGGTACAAACAAAACAAAACAAAACAAAACAAAAAATAGTGCCAATGGCTCACACCCGTAATCATAGCTATTCAAGAGGCTAAGACCTCAGTTCAAAGTCAGCCTGGGCAGGAAAGTCAATGAGACTCTTATTTTCAATTAACTACCAAAAAAAGTCAGAAATGGAGCTGTGATTCAAGTGGTAGCACAAAAGCTCAGGAACAGTGCTTAGTCCCTGAGTTCAAGCCCCAGGTCTAGCACACACACACACAAAAGTTGTTTATGGGACAGAATTTCAAAATGTCAAAAACAAATATATAGATAGATAGATAGATACCATGTATACATATACCATAAGTAGAAAAATGAAAGAAAAATATATAAACATGTTAACAGTTATTTCTATGTAGTAGGGTTATGTGAGATTTTCTCTTTGAAATGTTCTGTATTTTTCCATTTTCTTCTAGTGTTTCACATTTTGAAAAATAATAAATAAAAGTGAATAACAATAATTCAAAAATGATATCAAAGACATTTCAGAAGACGCAACCATAAACACCATATATTTGTTTTATAAGTGGCTAAACCTTCCGGCCAAAAAGTTTTTATTTCCAGTAGAAGTAGTACTTGTATTTTTTCCTTGACTGGCTTTAGATACAGGATCCACAGCAACGTACTTGATTTGGAAACCTCCTGCTGTGATGGAAGCATCACTCAGGAACTTCAAGGTCATAACATTTCCTGTGAGGAGAGGGGCCAACCAAACACCAACAATGTTACTGGTCTTTGATTGATCCCACAATTCAAACACCCAATCTTTTTCCTCAGAGAATTTAAGCACTGATGAACAGGACTAATACCCAATTGAGAAGTGGATTCTCAGGTTTTTGTGTCCATGGTTTCATTGGCAAGTGGAGCAGGAGAGTTTCCTCACTGCAATCCGCCCCCCCTCCCACCTCCCCAGTCTGTCCTATACGAAGAGATGGAGGCTGAAGTGAGGTTATTTGGAGATTAAGAGGAAGCTCTTTTTTGGTACCTGGAGTTCTCATGAGAGAACGCCATTAGACTCATTAAGAAAGTTTATTTGGAGCCATGTGCCGGTGGCTCATGCCTGTAACCTTAGATACTCAGGAGGTTGAGATCTGAGGATTCTTGTTCGAAGCTAGCCGGGGCAGAAAAGTCCCCATGAGACTCTGATCTCCAATTAAACACTCAAAAGTGGAAGTGGAGCTGCGGCTCAAGTGGTAGAGTGCTAGTCTTGAGCACAAAGAGGCTCAGGGACAGCACACAGGCCTCGAGTTCAAGTCCCACCACCAACAAATAAAAAAGAGAATCTATTTGTAGGATGGGGAGGGGGCCGCTCAGGAGTAGAGCGCTTGACTATAAAGCTGAGGTCCTGGGTTGGATCCCAGAATCACACAACAACAACAACAACAAATGGTTGTTGTAGTAGGAACACTGACAGAATTATCTCAAGCAGCAATTCAAACCAGTAAGGTGTGAATGGGTCATTACCAAATGACACAGAGCAACAAACTTTACATTTGCATGTTCTACTGCAAACAGAGTACTTAAATTCATTTCACCTATCAATAAAGATTAAAATGTACTTAAAAGGTTTAATGGATTAGTTTTCCTAGGAAGATTGTAACAGAACAATGAATTTTAAAGGATTAAGCATTAATCATTCCATGACTGTGCAGAAACTTTCCCTCTTGTCTTGTAATGAGGACAAATACACTAGAATTGAGTGCATTGCAAGCCTGGTGTGGAAGTAAGTCTATGGGTAGTTGCCTGTTTCAAGATTACTTAGGCCTGGTAGCAGTGGCTCACACCTGTTATCTTAACCACTAAGGAGGTTGAGAGAGCTAAGGATCCTGTTTCTAAGCTAGCTGAGGCAAACAAAGAGGAGAAATACCAGAAATGGAGGTATGGCTAATGTGGTAGAGTGTCAGCCAAGAGCTGGGGAATGGGGGAGGCAAACAAGAGAGGCTTTGAATTCAAGCCGCAGTACTGGCACACAGAAAAAAAATTACTAAGAATTGCAATTTAATGCAGTTTTGCTGGTTTTAGTTACAGAAGTACTGTGATGATTTTATGACCTGGTGAGAAAATAGAGCCCATAAGAATGTGAACTTCTGGTGCTGGTAACAGAAATTAAGAGAGAAAATAAAGATTTCTAAGAAAACAAAGGTTTGTGGCTTTAAAAAAGAGCAGTTTGGGATAATTTAGAAAGTAGCATTACAAACGAGCCAAATGCTGGTGGCTCAAGCCTGTAATCCTAGCACTAAGGAGGCTGAGAGCTGAGGATCACAATTTGAAGCCAGCCTAGACAGAAAAGTCTGTGAGACTCTTATCTCCAATAAAACTACTCAGAGGGGCTGGGAAGGTGGCTCAGTGGTAGAGCGCTTGCCTTGCACGCTTGAGGCCCTGGGTTCGATTCCTCAGCACCACATAAGCAGAAAGAATAAAAGCCGGAAGTGGCACTGTGGCTCAAGTGGTAGAGCGCTAGCCTTGAGCTGAAGAGCTGAGGGACAGCACCCAGGCCCAGAGTTCAGGCCCCATGACTGGACCAAAAAAAAAAAAAAAAAAACTACTCAGAAAGGCTGGAAGTGGTGCTGTGGCTCAAATGGTAGATGGCTAGTCTTGAGCAAAAGAAGCCCAGCGACAGTGCTTAGGCCCTGAGTTAAAGCCCCAGAACTGGTAAAAAAAAAAAAAAAGAAAAGAAAAAAGAAAAGAAAAGAAAGTAGTATTGCTTATTGGGATACGTTTATGCTATAAGAAGGATTTTTTCTTTTTGAGGTATACTTCTTAAATCAAGAGATATATTTCTTAGCACAAAAACACAAGATAATTTTGGGAGGGGGATAATTTGGACAATACAGTCTTTTGTAGTTGGCCTTTTGAGATTTGCTGTACAAATCAGTACGTTAAAAGTGCTTTTGAGAGGCTGGGAAGGTGGCTTAGTGGCTTAGAGTGCTTGCCTAGCATGCATGAAGCCCTGGGTTCAATTCCTCAGTACCATATAAACAGAAAAAGCTGGAAATGGAGCTGTGGCTCAAGTGGTAGAGTGCTATCCTTGGGCAAAAGAAGCTCAGTGACAGTGACCAGGCCCTGAGTTCAAGCCCCAGAACTGGCACCAATAAATAAATAAAATAAATAAATAAAAATAAAAGTGCTTCTGAGCCGGGTGCCAGTGGCTCACGCCTGTAATCCTAGCTACTCAGGAGGCTGAGAGCTGAGGATCATGGTTCAAAGCCAGCCTGGGCAGGAAAGTCCGTGAGATTCTTATCTGCAATAAACTGCCAGAAGACTGGAAGTGGCACAGTGGCTCAAGTGGTAGAGTGCTTGCCTTGAGCTGAGGAGCTGAGGGAGAACGCTCAGGCCCAGAGTTCAAGTCTCACGACCGACCAAAAAAAAAAGCTTCTGTGGTTTACCAATAAAGAAATCTGTTTAACACTATTTAACCCAAAGTTTATTTTAGCTTAGGTTTATTTCCTTACGTAATGCCACTTAAAATATCATACTAAACTGTGTTCTTCAGAATGCTGTGTGGGGAAATGCCAAAATGTGAAAATTGCTGGACATCAGTGATTCACATCTATAATCCTAGTTACTCAGGAGGCTGAGATCTCAGGATCATAGTTTGAATCCAGACAGGGCAGGAAAGTCCATGATACTCTTACCACCAACTAACCATCAAAGAAGAGGGAAGTGGAGGTGTGGCTCAAGTGGCTGAGTGCCAGCCTTGAGCCAAAGTTCAGGGACAGCATCCAAGTCCTGAGTTCAAGCCCTAGTACTGACACACACACACATGTGTGTACACACACACACAATGAAAATAATTACATAAAGTTATTTTCAGTGACAATAGGTATTTTGAACAACTTTATAAATTACTTCTGCCTTTCATCAACAATCTCTCTTATGTTATTTAAAATTTTGTGATACTGGCAATCAAACCTAACACCTCACACATATTAAGCAAGCACTCAACCACTGACCAATAGTCTCAGAATCCAGGCATTTTATTAGAAATCATAGCTGTAGAAATCATATGTATGGATTGGCACATTCAAGACTATCACTCCATTTCCTGCACGTAACAAAAGTCTGTGCCCATTTTTGGCATAAAAAGTTGGCACAAGTCTTTAACTGTAAACAAGTCTTGCCTTTTTTTGTCACAAGCTATTTTAGCCTTAGTCCTGTCCACTGTAAAGAGTGAATGATAGATAATAAGGCTCTGCGAAAAAGAAAAAAAGGAAATCTTTGCTGTGATTCGGACATTACCTGTGCTAATGATGTCTTCTGGAAGCTCATCACCACAGTACCTGAAAGGGGATTTTTAGAAAAGGAAGGTCACATGAAAGAACATTAAGCAGCTGTGACGGGAGTTTTACTGAGAATAAAATGCCTTACATCCCTTCAGAAAGTCTCATTTTTCTTTATTCTTGTTTATTTTGCTACTAATGGGTTGCAACTCAGGACCTTGGTGTTGGTCAGCTGGTACTCTACTAAATACTTGAGCAGCATCTCCAGATTGTATTTTTGTTAATTATTTTGGAGATGGAATATAGCAGATTTTTCAGTCTGGAATTACCTTCAAACTACTATCCTCCAAATCTCAGCCTCCTGAGTAGCTACGATTATAAATGTGAGCCATTGGTGCCTGGCTTTTTTCCCTTTTAATTAAAATTCTAGGATAAATTGTTTTAAATGTGGAAAAATTATAGATATAAAATTTCCATGTTCAGCTGGGTGCTGGTGGCTCATGCCTGTAATCCTAGCTACTCAGGAGGCTGAGATCTGAAGGTTGAAGTTTGAAGCCAGCCTGGGCAGAAAAGTCCCTGTGAGACTCTTATCTCAAATTAACTACTCAAAAACTAGAAGTGGGGGTGCACTCAGGGACAGCACCCAGGTCCTGAGTTCAAGCCCTACGACCAAGAAAAAAATAAACTCTCTCTCTCTCTCTCTCTCTCTCTCTCTATATATATATGTAAGTTATAGAAATAAAATATTTAATGTTTCACTCTAAGTCATGAACTCCTTCTGAACTTATATAAAAATGGTATAAATTTAAAAAATGCAATTCATTCTGGAGGAGGGAAAAGTCTACTATAGAGGAAAATTACACAAATAAATCTAAATAACAAATGAGCCTGGTGAAAACTTTCTAAAAATAGTAGTTTATGATTATTTTTTTTTTGGTCGGTCATGGGGCCTGAACTCAGCTCTTCAGCTCAAGGCTAGTGCTCTACCACTTGAGCCACAGCACCACTTCTGGATTTTTCTGCTTCTGCAGTGCTGAGGAATTGAACCCAGGGCCTCATGCATGTGAAGCAAAGCACTCTACCACTGAGCCACCTTCCCAGCCTGGGACCTGCATTTGTAAAGCACTCAATTGTACACTTTCATATATCAATATTTTGTAAGGCATTCAAGATTTAAACTACATTAAAAATTTGGAATAAGAAAACAAAAAAAATGATCCAGCATGCTGAAAATCCAAAGGAAAAATATTGAATAATGGAACAATTTTTTTAATGACAAAGAAGATTGCTTTTAAGACAATATTCATTGTATAGCTAAATTACATGAGATTTGGGCTGTACCTTACATTCCTAATATAGTCATTGCTTTGTATAGAGAATATAGGCAACAATTTACTGACTATATAGTCACTTTTAGGATGCTGACACATTAGAAAACTTAGCCGTGCACTGTAATTTTGACTATTCAGGAGGCTGAGAACAGGAGGATCATGGTTTGAAGCCAGTCCTAACAGAAAAGTCTGTGAGACTACATCTCTCTAAAATAACTAGCAAAAAGCAGAGCTGGAAGGATGGCTCAAGTGGTAGAGTGCCAGCCAAGAAAAAAAAAAGCCAAAGGAGAGCATGAAGAATTGAGTTCATTGAGTTCAAGCCCCAGTACCAGAAAAAAAAAGGAAAAAAGAAAATGAAAAAAATGACTAACAAAAATTCAAACTCACATGTTTCTTCTTTCTCCTACTAGAAAATAATAAGCAGACTAGACAAATGAGTTCTTACAATTTTACAATGAACAAAAGACAGAGATTACTAGTCTAATAGTAAGTACACATAACAGACAAATGAGAAATAATTTCATTGAAAAATTATTGGATATCACTGGAGAGTAGATACTGGAAAGTCAATATTATGGATCTGGTTGATTATTTATTTACTCGTGTCTGTTCTGGGGCTTGAACTCAGGGCCTGAGTGCTGTCTCTGTTTTTTTTAGCTCAAGACTAAAGCTCTACCATTTGAGCCAGTTCTACTTTTGGCTTTTTGCTGGTTAATTAGATATGAGTCATAATCTTTCCTGCCCAGGCTGCCTTCAAATCACCATCTTTAGATCTCAGCCTTGTGAGTAGCTAGGATTACAAATGTGAGCCACTAGTGGCTGGCTGGATTTAACTGATTAAAGAAGCAGGAATACTGAATGTTCCCTTGTTTCTTGTGTAGGGAAATAACACATACCTTCCCACAAAGCCATGGACATCATCGTAACTGTCATATATTTCCACATAGTCTGCTAAGCAACCTGGATCATCTTCTAGGTCAAAGTCCAAAAAACTCAGGTGAATACGCTGGCCATACTTGAGTCTAATGTGCCAGTAGCAGATTTGGTTGTCATCATACTCATTTGGGAAGCCTGGAGATTTGAAAATTCTCTTTGGCTCTGTAAAGACACCACCACACTCTTTTGCTGAAATGGAAAAAATAGAAGAAAAAGACTCAGGAAAAAGTTTACACTCCTGACACTTCTTCCACTTTTTAGACACTATTTTTCCTTTGTGCCAATACTAGCGCTTCAATTTAGCCTTGCAAGAGTTTACTTTGTCTCCTTTTCCTTTATTCAACCAAGGGACAAATTATCCAAAACAGTTAGTTTGGTAACATTACTTTATTGCTTAGCTATTTGGCCATAACTCGGTTATAATCTCCGTCCCCCACTTTTTTGTGGCTAGGAAGTTCTCTGACATAGGGAAAAACCTGAATTCTCACCTCAAGCATGTACCAATTATTGGCCGTGTGATCTGGAGTAAGTGATGCAACTTTTTTAAATTTCAGTTGTAACAATGGCTCTGTGTAGAGCTGTGACTATTAAATGATTGCAAATAAAGGAACATAATTCAGTGTGTGAGACAGAGTAAGCATTCAAAGAATGATATTTATTGTTAATAATAATCATGACCACATCCACTATTTCTGGAAGGAAAAGCCATTTCTTGTAACAACCTGTTAGTAGCCTATGAATGTTTTGTTGTTATTGTTGTTGTATATGTGTTTTTACAATGATTATTTCTAACAACAAACCGTGTGGGTTGTAGCAATAGGCATCCCATCTTTCACTCCTGTTGAGCCGGAATCCATAGTCAATAATCCCAGTTTTCCCAAATCCACAGTTGGGACCTGGCTTCACAATGGGGTATCCAACTCTGCCCTTGGCCATCCAGCCAGCAGCACAGACATGAAATCCTGCAAGAGGAACAAAGCGTTAGATGCTTAACTGGCAAAGCCTCACAACCAAGCAGATGGGCACCTCCAACCATGTTTCTCAACTTTCCAAACCCAGTTCATGTAAAATGTAAACAAACAAAAAGACTTCTTCCTTTAAAAAAATGTTTCAATGCACACAAAATAACAGATAACTACTGTCTTTGTGAAATAAAAGAAAGAGATGCCACTGCACTAGAAATTATAACACATGGATACACAGATCATCCAAGTTCAGAGGTGGCTTCTTTTCACATATAATCTAACTTGTGCTATGGGAGAATTTCTTAAATTATGAAACATTTCAAGTGATAATTTAATTAACTTTTGTTTCAAGATCAATTGAGATAAGTGTAACATTAAAAATTTTTTGAATGAAGATAGATTTTCTTACCACTTTTGAACAAAGGCTCATCTCTATTTTCTATGCTTAAGCCTGGAGGCCATTTTTATTTGTTTTGTTTTGTTTTGTTTTTGGGTCCAGCCGTGGGGCCTGAACTCTGGGCCTGGGCGCTGTCCCTCAGCTCTTCAGCTCAAGGCTAATGCTCTACCACTTGAGCCACAGCGCCACTTCCGGCTTTTTTCTTTTTGCTTATGTGGTGCTGAGGAATTGAACCCAGGGCCTCTTGCATGCAAGGCAAGCACTCTGCCACTGAGCCACCTTCCCAGCCCCTGGAGGCCATTTTTAGTGTCTGCTAATGCCATCCTAGATCTATTTTACTGAGAGTCCTTCTGCTAGTAAAGACAAAGGTCATGTTATCTATCCATCCAGTTCTTCTGCCCTACGCAGCTTGTAATCAAGGAGGAGCAGTAATATAGGGAGACTTTGGGACTCTTGGAGAGAATACCTTTACAGTTGTCCCTCCAAAATCTGGGTTCTGTATCTAGGCATTCAATCAATTGTAGATAAAAAAATACTACTTTAAGCTGGGTGTTGTTGGTAGCACACCTCTGTAAGCCTATCTACTTAGGGTGCTGACATCTGAGGATCACAGTTTAAACTAGTGTGGGAAAAGTCTTACCTCCAATTAATCAACTCTTATCTCCAATTAATAAACAAAAAGCCAGCAATAAAGGTGTGGCTCATGTGGTAGAGGAGCAGCCTTGAGTAAAAAAGCTAAGGAACAAGCCTGTAATTCTAGCTACTCATGAGCCTGAGATCTGAGAATCAAATTCCAGTTAGGGCAGGAAAGTCTATGAGACTCTTATCTCCAATGAATCTCAGAAAAAGCTGGAAGTGGCACTGTGGCTCAAATGGTAGAGTGGTAGCTGTGAGCAAAAAGGTCAGGGACAGCACCCAGGCCCAGAGTTCAAGCCCTAGCACTAGTGTGTGTGTGTGGGGGGGGGATAGGGGGTAGGGGGCAGAAAGCTAAGTAACAGCCTCCATGCTCAGAGTTGAGTTCAAGTCCTAGTATACACACACACACACACACACACACACACACCCCTACCTATAAAAAGTAGTTTTAAAAAAGCAATACTTTAAGAGGAAGCTAGATCTAAAATATACCCAGACATGATAAATTATACAGAACCCTAGGTGTTCACACACAGTGAGACCAAAGGAGGATACACAAAGATGCAATGCCTCTGTGCCTCTGATCACAGAAAATAATATTAATTGAATGAAAAAAATTTAAAAAATGCGTCTGGATATTGTCTCAAATGGTCAATCTGCTGCCTAGCGAGTGCAAGACCAAAAATTCAAACCTTAGTACCAACACCAAAAACAGAAAGAAAAAAAGAAGGAAAAAGGTGGACTCCACAAAAATTGCTCCCACACTGAACATTTTCAGAACTTTCTTGCTATTTCCTAAATAAAAGTATATAACTATTTATAGTAGGTATAAGTGATCTAGAGATAATTTAAAATCTATGGGGCTAGAATTATAGCTTGGTGGTAGAACACCGATCTAGCATGTGTGAGGGTCTGGGTTTGATTAACAGCACCACAAAATTAATTAAAAGATGAATAAATTAGCACATAAAGCATACTAGAGGATGTGAAATACCGTGCCATTTTACATAAAGACTTTGAACATCTTTGGATCCTGGTATCCATGGGGATCCTGGAACCAGTTTTTCACTGATACTGCAGACAACTGTATATTAGGTAATGTGTAGCATAGTCTTTGCCAGGCATTTTCCACAAGCAGTGGAATTCTGATGCAGGTGGTCCACTCTGAAAGTTCAGTCGAGCCTAGCAGCTCCTGCCTTACTTTTTTGGTAAAAAAGCAATTAGCAGGTTTTCACCAGATATGACATCTTCCCTGTTTCTTTCTTCTGCCCTTTTACAATGTGCTTATACTTTCCCCATAGGTTTTTTGTTTTGTTTTTGTCAGTTAAGGAGCTTGAACTCTGGGCCTGGATGCTGTCCCTGAGCTCTTCAGTTCAAGGCTAGCGCTCTACCACTTGAGCTACAGTGCCACTTCTGGTTTTCTGAGTGGTTTATTGGAGATAAGAGTCTCACAGAGGGGCTGGGAAGGTGGCTTAGTGGTAGAATGCTTGCCTTGCATGCATGAGGCCCTGGGTTCGATTCCTCAGCACCACATAAGCAGAAAAAGCCACAAGTGGTGCTGTGGCTCAAGTGGTAGAGCACTAGCCTTGAGCTGAAGAATGGACGGACAGCACCCAGGCCCAGAGTTCAGCCCCCCCCCCCCCGACCAACCAAAAAAAACCAAAGAACAAAGAGTCTCACAGACTTTCCTGCCCAGGCCGGCTTTGAACTGTGATCCTCAGATCTCAGCCTCTTGAATAGCTAGGATGACAGGCGTGAGCCACCGACGCCTGGTAGGTTTTTGTTTTTTAATTTAAAGAACAAATACACTCTTCACTTGTGTTAAAAAAGTATTGGGGGGGAAAAAGGTTTTGAATTCAACTTTCCTCTTACCAAGTACATTTCTTTTCCTCCTTCACTCCCTTCCTCCCTCCTTTTCTTTCTTCTTCTTTCCTTCCCCCCTTGTCTGTCTCTCTCTTAGGGGTTGTATAAAAAGTAATTTTCCCCCCCACCAGGATAAAAGAGAAGAGAAACCATTGTCAAATCAGTTACCGATTTTTCTGGCTGCTTCTAGCTGCTTGTAAGTAGCGAGGCGGCCACCTTCAAATTCGCACACTGCCTTTGCCTCTGTGTAGGTAAGCTTGTATTTACCAGATCTTGCTTCTCTGTGGTACACGCCTGCTGCTTGTTCTGTGAAATCACAAGGTGTCATGAATACATTATTACCCATTCTGGCCAAACAAGGAAGTTTGCTGGAAGATTACATCAGGTACTGTTCTTGCCAAAGAACTTTCTAGGTCAATTGCCATGGGTGGCTAATTTTTCATTGTTAGAAATCCTTGGGGGAAAAGATGAATGAGGGGAATTTTAGGGGAATTTTGGGGGAGCATTAACAAAAACTGGATATGTGCATAATAGGAGAGCCTAAAAAAAAGGTTAAATATAACATTGCATTTCTTTATCATCCACAAGTGATAACACGTTTTGGCATTCTTTTGGCATTAAGTCATAAAAACTTGGAAAGACACCAATGAAAATGGCTCCAGTATGAAGGTTCACACTGATGGAGGAAAACAAGCCAAAATATCAACTTGAGGGAATGACTAAAGCAACATAATTGAGAATTTAGTAAATAAATTAAAACTGTGGAAAGGTCTGAAGGAATCCAAAGTAAACAAAAGAAAGAATAGATTCAAGCAGAATAGAGAAAAAGACTGGGTATGCCTATCAGTTCCTAACTTCTTTATTATATTTTAGGGAGTGGTAACTTATCTGTGAGTTGTCTTCCAGATCACTACTTAAAATGGATGGCTTTAAGTTCAGAGCACTTGGTGCCATGAAAAAACAGTGAAGAGATTCCTAGGACATAAAGCTAGCTCTAGCAGTGCTGATATGCTACATAAATCTGCTAGATGAGAAAATGGTACCCTGACCTGTATAGTTGGCTACCAATGGGACCACATATTTCTTGGCATTCAGCAAGATATACCTTTAGTAGAATTAGAAATGGAGGTCATTTTAATGCTCCTTCCCAAACTTTTATCTTGACATTGCCACTGTTGGATGGAGACAGTACTTGATATGTTTCTTGCTTTTCTAGTTTCCTGGGACCCTGCTCTTCTCTGCATTAGAGAATAGCAATGGCATCAAATCACAGCCAGTCACCATGGTTCCCCTTAGTAAATCTCTTGCCTGTCAGGAGATTTCATGTACAGAAGCCTTAGTAAACTTTTGGTAATTTCCAATAATTATTTGGGGCATGTATCAAGAGGTATTTTGCTAGGCACTGTGGCTCAAGACTGTCCTCTCAAGAAACTTACACACTACTTGGGCAACATGAACATCTTTATAGTGTGTGTGTATTTGAGAGAGAGAGAGAGAAAGAGAGAGAGAGAGAGCGCGCGCGAGAGTATGTGGTTTTGTAGTGCTGGGATTCAATTTCAGGGCTTTGTACTTTGTAGGCAGGCAGGCACTCTATTACTCCAGGCATACCTTCACTCCTTGTTTTTTTAGTTTTTGAGACAGGGTTTTGCTTGTCATGTAGCCATAGTTAGTCTGGAACTCATGATTCAACTGTCTCAGCTTTCCAATTGTTAGATTACAGTCACTTGGCTGGTGGAATAGGTTTATCTTGATATAGATAGGCACTAAGGCTTTTGCTAGACATCAAAGCCATGTCTAATTTAATTATACTAATGATTGTTAATTTTTAAAATTGTAAAATGGCTGGGCACTGGTGCCTGGCATCCTAGCCACTCAAGAGGCTGAGATCTACGGATCCCAGTTCAAAGCCAGCCAGACAGGAAAGTCCATGAGACTCTCATCTCTAATAAAATTACCCCCAATAGGTTGAAAGTGGAGCTGTGGTTCAAGTGGTAGAGTGGTAGCATGCACTTTTGTGCTCAAGGACAGAGCCCAGGCCCTTAGTTCAAGCTGCAGAACTGGCACTGGCACATGGGCACACGTGTACATACATGCACTTGCGTGCACATATGTGTACACACACAAGACACAACTTGGAAAATGGTATCTGTGCTCCAAAAATATAGAATAAGAGAAACCTTTATTTTAAAAAATGCAGCAATTATTCTAATAACTGTCTTTTCTTTTCTTTCTTTTTTGTCAGTTGTGGGGCTTGAACTTGGAGCCTGCGTGCTCTCCTTGAGGTCTTTTGCTCAAGGCTAGCATTCTATCACTTTGAGCCACAGCACCACTTCCAGTTTTCTGGTGGTTAATTGGAGATGAGTCCTCCACAGTCCTTCCAGGGCTGGTTTTTAACTCAGATCTCAGGGGCTGAGAAGGTGGTGCTTGCATGCATGAGGCACTGGGTTTGATTCCTCAGCACCACATAAGCAGAAAAAGCCAGAAGTGGCACTGTGGCTCAAGTGGTAGAGTGCTAGCCTTGAGCTGAATAGCTGAGGGACGTGCCCAGGCCCAGAGTTCAAGTCCCCCGACAGACAAAAACAAACAACCCCCCCCCTCAGATTTCAGCCTCCTGAGTAGCTATAATTACAGCCATAAACCACCAGAGCCTGGCTTGTCATGTTTTTCTTAAAATGATTTTCTTCGTATTTTACTCCAAAATTGAAATGTAATGGGCTGGGAATGTGGCTTAGTAGTAGAGTGCTTGCCTAACATGCAGAAGCCCTGGGTTTGATTCTCAGTACCACAAGTGGCACTGTGGCTCAAGTGGTAGAATGCTAGCCTTGAGCAAAAGAAGCTCAGGGACAGTGCCCAGGCCCTGAGTTCAAACCCCAGGCCTAGCAATAAAATAAAATTAACACATTTTTAGAAAATAATTTAAGAGTTTCCTCCCAGTAAGTTTTAAAAATTGTTATCTTCTAGCAATAAGATAGTAAAAGTAACAAAAATAATTTGCAGTAATTGTCAATTTGTTAAATATTAATATTCTGCAGTTTTCCTCAAAGAGCACTAAGTGTCTCAATATGTTAACTTATGGTAAAATTGAATACTCTTACTCCATTTGGCCATTTTATTTATTATGTATTAGGCTATTTTATTTATTTGTTTGACTGGGTCTTGCTATATAACCTAAACTGGCCTTGAATTTATGTTCTTTCTGTCTCAACCTTCTGAGTTTGAGATTCTAGGCATCCACCATTACACCAGATGGCAATTTTAAACAAGACATTAAATTAATTATTTTATTCTCATTTTCTTTGTTGTAGCCCAATCTCACTTTACAATCTGAGGGGCTCCACTATGACTTCTTGAGTTTAACATTTATTTTAAACTATTCCTCAGGTTAGAATTTTTATTTATTAAGATGGACCTTTTGGGCTGGGCATTAGAGCACCTGGGCCCTGAGTTCAAACCCCAGTACCAACTCTCCCTCCCTCTCCCAAAAGATGAATTTTCATACAATAAAATCCTAATTTAAAAGATTTTACCTTGCAGATGAAATATTTTATTAATTCTTATAGTGAATAATCAGTAATATTTTTTAATTAAAATTTTGCTTAATCAGCCAAGCACTGGTATCTCATACCTACAATCCTAACTTCTCAGGAAGCTAACATCTGAGGATCATGGTTTGAAGCCAGCTGGGGCAGGGAAATACATGTGATTCTTATCTCCGGTTAACTACCAGAAAACCAGAAATGGTAGAGTGTTAGCCTTGAGTAGAAAAGCTCAGGGACAGCATTCAGGCCTTGAGTTCAAGTCCCATGACTTTACTAAAAAAATTGTTTAACTGATAAAATAATTTTTTTCCCCTGTTAAGAACTGGCAACTATAGAATGTTGGCTGTGTCTTCACTGCTGATTTTACTGGGGAGAGTTGTATAACTTGTATAAATAGCTGCCTGTGCCTCAGTTTCTTCATCTGTCCCATTATAGCTTCTGGACTCATGACATGTTACTTTTCCTTTCTTTCCTTTTCAGATTCAGTAGAGGTTAAAAAGAACTGCTGTCTGTGCCTTTCAATTTTTATGATAAATGTAAATGGCATTTCTTGTCCTATAGTTTCTGTTCTTGTTTGTTTTAAACTACTATTTTTTTCTTTTTAAAAATTTTTTTATTGTAAAGGTGAAGTACAGAGGGGTTACAGGCCATGTAATGAGTATATTTCTTTTTTTAAAATTTTTTTATTGTAAAGATACTATACAGAGGTATAGTATACAGAGGTATATATATGAGCAAGGTAATGAGTACACTTCCTATTGAGCATTGTTACCCCCTCTTTAAACTACTATTTAAGGAACCAGAAAACCACAGAGTTCAGGTGTCCTGTTCTAGATAGTTGCTGCAGATTCCTGCCTTTGAATACAACTATCTTTTCCCTCTAAACTGTTGCTAACATTATATTGACCCTAACTAATTGGAAACAACTAGTGCAAGGAAGACTGGTTAATAATTTGTCCCATATTGAAGCAATTTACACTCATCCCAAGCCTCAGATTTGCAGCATACTCTTTACAAAGATTTGGGTCATTGCTTTCTGTCTCTGGGACAGAACCGCTCTTATCCATATTTATGTTTTTGCAATACACAACATCACTTAACAACAACAACAAAAAGAAACACTTAAAAAAAAAAGAAACACTTTTGGGCTGCGAAGGTGGCTCAGTGGTAGAGTACTTGCCTCGCATGCATGAGGCCCTGGGTTCAATTCCTCAGCACCACATACACAGAAAAAGCTGGAAGTGGGCGTTGTGGCTCAAGTGGTAGACCACTAGCCTTGAGCTGAAGAGCTCAAGGACAGTGCCCAGGCCCAGAGTTCAAGCTCCACAACTGACAAAAAAAAAAAAAAAGACTCCATCTCCAAAAAGAAACACTTTCAAACCACTTGATCACAAAGAAGCTTGATAACATTTCAAAGTTTATACAAATGATCATAATTCTTGTTACCTTTATGACATTTTTAATGCTATATGCTCATATCTTATGTGCAAGATATGTGTGCAATTAAAATAAAGAGAAATTTAGCATATAGATTTGTTTGTTCTTCTACATTCTGTCTAGAATGCATCTTGACCAAATAGATCACACTGAAACTAGTTCACTGGCTCAAGCTGAGAAAAAGCAGCGAGGCTCTGCATCACAGATCAGGCTTTCTAATGAAATTCACATGCTTGCAGTTATTAACAGAGAGAAATACACTGAAAGGGAAAATTTGTCTACAACCATGTGTTGCTTAGCAAGCATAAAACCAAGATCTAGGTTAATTGGGCTTTCTCTTAATTTCTTTATTTGGTGCACGAATCTACCCAAGCATTTGAATGTTTTTCTCTCTTTAACACAATTGTGGACAAAAAGCAGTATCAATTTGAATCAACATAATTAAAGTATTACTTGCAATATGCATCATAAGAGTTGAAAGTATTGTTTAAACAATACTTTCCTTGTTTAATACTCAGAACATTATAAACGATATTGTTTTTCTTTTCCCCTCCTTTCGTATTGTTTATCTTTACCATTTGGTCTGTGTCATTCCTTACATTGAACAAAACCACAAAAGAAACTTTTCTTGTCCTCAAAAAGGTTGGAAAGTATTTTTATATGAATAGAAGAACAAGAAGAATCAAAGTGGCAAGATTACATTCAGCCAAAGAAACATTTCCCCCGCCCCCTTCCATATTGTAAGCTGGTTTTGTCAAAATAGTCAAAAGAGGTTTAGAAAAACTTCAGATATACCCCACAGTTTAGAGGATATTGAACAATGGCTCTAATTTTTTTTGTATATTCCAGTTGATCTAAAATCTGACTGCAAATACAATTAAAGTACAAACATTGGTGTTTTAGTTTGTTAAGATTAAAAGCATGCTACCACATCTGTTTTTTAAAAAAACCTAAAAGTGCATTTTTATAATGTCTATTGATTATAACTCTACTTTCTATTGAACAATTCAAAAATATTTCAGAAAGCTATTCTTAAGCGGAAATAAGAACACTTAAAAGATATTTCAATGGCTTTCTCTCTTAAGGATTGTCTTTGATCAGCCATCAATAGATCAGTAAGTTTTACTGCCCTGATTCATTCTACCTTGGTTTTACAGCATTGGTATTTCTAACAAGAAGCTTATGAGTGAATTTCTTACCAAGCCATATGGAGTTATGAAAGATTCCATTCTTGAATCCCCATCCTTGAGCCTCTTCCCACAGCAAGAGGAACAAGTAAATTAAGACGATCATGTCTTCAGTGGAAGAAAAGCTCTCAGCCTGTCAGGGGCTGCTTGTGATGAATTCTCAGAGCAGTGCCCGAATGTGACTGAAACATCTGGTTTCCACATCTTTTAAATAGTTTTTTTTTTTTTCCAACTGTGAGGTCAGCTAGTCTTCTCCAATGGTATTTTCCGTTGTAGAGTTACACAATTAACTCAGTGTCTGAGGCAAGCCCTCTGACTCATTTGCATTGGCAAGCAGAACCAAGGATATAGGATGATCATCTACGAATGAAAATTCTCTTACTCAGAAAGGCGTTCATTTATGCTGTCTGTTATGGTTTTCAATTAGGAAGTTTGTGTAAGTCTGTGGGATTCAGCAGTGATTAAAACAAAGCCAAACTTCAGCTGGAATTTTAAAAGAAATTCTAAAGGTCGTGTTGGTAATGTTAATGATAGAGGTGAGGGTTTCTCATTAATCTTTTTTTAATTTTTTTAAAAAAATTGTTGTAAAGATGATATGCAGAGGGGTTCAGTTACTTAAGTCAATCATGAGTACATTTCTTTTTTTTTGTTGTTGTTGGTCATGGGGCCTGAGCTCTGGGCCTGGGCACTGTCCCTGAGCTCTTCAGCTCAAGGCTAGCGCTCTACCACTTGAGCCACAGTGCCACTTCTGGCTTTTCTGTGGTGCTGAGGAATCGAACCCAGGGCTTCATGCATGCAAGGCAAGAACTCTACCTTTGAGCCACCTTTCCAGCCCTCATTGATCTCTAACTTGACCCTCGCAATCTTAATTGTTGCCAAGTCTGTGTAGAAAATTTAAAACAAATCTCCAGCTTTCTTTAGTAATGTAGGACCTCCTTATTCTGTCTACTTGTGTTCTGGGGTAAAATCTGTTTCACTCCTTTGTTTGTTGTGATCAGCAGGTAATTTAAATGTATCAGTTTCCCCAAAAGCAGTTTAGTTTCAGAGCCTGAGTATACCATTATAACACAAATTTCACAAGGTAACATATTCTTTCTGCGTTGGGAAGCAGGTGAACAGAGAGTAATAAGGTTAATAAAAATATGATCCTAACTGTGCATGTGTGGCTCATGCCTGTAATCCTAGCTACTCAGGAGGCTGAGATCTGAGGATCAGAATTCAAAGCCAGCCTGGGCAGGAAAGTCAGTGAGATTTACCTCCAATTAACCATTAGAAAACTGGAAGTGATGCTGTGGCTCAAGTAGCAAAGTTCTAGCCTTGAATTGAAAAGTTCAGGGACAGTGCCTAGGCCCAGATTTCAAGCCCTATGGCTGACAAAAAAAAAAAAGACCCTAAATTCCCTAGATTACTCTAACCTTGCCAAAGATGATCAAAATAATAGGTGACAATTATCATAGTAAAGTCACCATATCTGCTATTGATTGATAGCTGTTTATTGGCAATTTTTTGTTGTTGGCTTGAACCTAGGACTTCATATACTCATTTGGATTTCTGTCTCAAGGCTGGTGTTCTACCATTTCAGCTTTCCACTTTCAGCTTTTTGCTTGTTAATTGGAGATGTATCTGGGTCAGCCTGACTTCAAAGTGCAATCCTCAGATCTCAGCCTCCTGAGTAGCTAGGATTACAGGTGTGAACCATCAAGCTGGCAATTGGCAGTTTTTGTTCATCTTTGTTACCAGCTATGTTTTGATACTTAGCTTCTTTAGTCTTGATGCCAAACTGTTTCCCATTTGCTCTTTCTTCTGGGCTTTCTTAGTCCTTCCAGTGATAGTGGTTTGGAAAAGCTAACTTCCTACATATGTTCTGGTCTGATGTTAGCATTAAATCCCTAGGACATCTTTACATCATTAGCCTGGTTTCATCTCTTAATGACAGGGCAGTTGTGGGGATGGAGAATGACAATATAGAATTTAATTGATGTTCATTGAAATATGTACCAGGATTCAAAATTTGTATTTTGCAGCTGGGTACAGGTGACTCAGGACTGTCATCTTAGTTACTCAGAAGACAAAGATCTGAGGATCCTAGTTTAAAGCCAGGCCAGGCAAGAAAGTCCACGAGACTCTTCTATCCAATTAGCCACTAAAATATGGAAGTAAAGCTGTGGCTTAAAGTAATAGAGTACCAGCCTTGAGTGAAAGAGCTAAATGACAGAGCCCAAGCCTCAAATTCAAGCCCCACTAGCACGTGTGCATGCACATACACACAGACACACACTTACATTCTGTTTTTGGGGGCTGTGGCAATGAAAGGCGAGGGAAAAGTTCCATGATTAATTAGTGAGGTTAAATTGGATGCAAAAGCGGATATGGTCTAGACCATGTGGGTGTGCCTGTGGAGACACGGGCTTAAATTTGTGGCTTAGAAGCAAATATAGCTTTTTTTTTTTTTAACAATGGGTCAAACTGTATCCTTGTTTCAGCATTTTGTTATTTCCCTTCCCTTCCCAAATTAGAAAAATGTATATACTAGATGCAGGGTCCCAGAATCAAATACTATGACAAAAGGGGTTATACCATAGGGGGAAGAATATACAAAAGAAACAAAAAAAAATCACATAGTACATTAAAAGCAACAGCAACAAAGAAAAACCTCTTGTGTCCATATCTTGGGGTTCATTTCACTTAGCATCATCTTATATGGTTATATGAACATAGCTTTTGACCTTTTCTGCTTGTCTGGTAGGATATTCCTAGGTGTATACTAGTTATTGCAAATAAGGGAAAGCATGGGGCCTATGCTTCTTTAGGTCTGTCTTAATTCACTTAATATGATTTTTTCCAAGTCTTTCCATTTCCTAACAAATGGGGCGGTGTCATTCTGGTGGACGCATAGAATTCCATTGTATATATACACACTACATTTTCTTGATCTGTTCATCTACTGAGGAACATCTGGGTTGGTCCTATATCTTAGCTATGGTGCAAATATAGCTCTTCTTGCACACTGTTACTGAAAAATGTCATAGTTGTCTGGTTGTTTGGTTACTTTTTCTAGCTATGCCATTTCTATATCTTCCTAAAGCATCTACTTTTTCCCTACTTTTTATTTATTAAAAATTGCTCTCAGGAAAATGTTTGCAATTAATCAAGTAGCTAATAACACGTACCCTTCTGTGTTCATTTGCATTTTAATGAAATTCCAAATATAGCAGGGTGTGAATGTTCAACTTGTTGTAATATGAAAATTTAATGAGCTGATATGATGGATTAACCCATTGGAGGATGGGGGATATTTTCCCCTCCTCCCTACTCCTTTGAAGAATATTTTCCTGTACAGTGTTTGGAAAATCTGTCCTCCCTATTATCAAGAATATAGAAAATAATACCTATGCCAGATATGGTGGTGCATGCCTGAAATTCCAGTGTTTCAGGATCAAGTTCTGGTTCAAGTTCAAGACCAGCTTGGGAAATATACCCAGATCCTATCACATACAAACAGACAATGTCTAGTGGTGTGAGCTCTGCTTTTGAAAGGATGTTCAATTCTATTGTGGAAGAAAGAGGAAATGAGGTATTTATATGAAAAAAAAAGGCAGGTAGGTGCCTTTTTTGGTGGCTCACACTGGTAATCCTAGCTACTCAGGAGGCTGAGATCTGAGGATTAAGATTTGAAGCTAGCCCAAACATGGAAGTCTGACAGACTCTTATTTCCAATTAACCAACAAAAAATCAGAAGTGGAGATGTGGCTCAAGTGATAGAGTGCTAGCCTTGAGTGAAAAAGCTCAGGTATAGCACCCTGTCCTTGAGTTCAATCCTGAGTATTGGCACACACTCAGAAAAGAAGCATGTAGTTAGTTGAAAAAACAAGTAGCTATTCAAGGTGAGGAGAAGAGAAGGAATGGGAGGGCTTCTGTGAACTTACCTGGGACTACCAGATATGCTGAGAGAAGATACATGGTTAAAAATTCCACTTTCAAGACTGAAGTCATGACTCCATTGGTGGAGTTCCTACCCAGCAAGTGCAAGATCCTGAGTTCATACCCCAGGTTACCCCCATCCCCATATATTTTTACCAGTTAAGTGTTCTGTCTTTGTGGATAAAAAAACTCCCTTCTTTCAAACTCTTGACTCATAAGTCAAGGTGTACATAACTCTTCTTGTGTCTTAATTACAGGCTGAAAACTCAGCAAGGCTAGTCAGCTTTGTATAGGCCCCTTCTCTTCTGGTTGCATTTTCACAAGGTGTTCACATGCCTGAAGGCATAGCAGGGAAAGCTCCATGAAGGGAGAGAGGATGTGTCTGCACAGAACTAACCCAGAAGATCTGGGACAGAAACTGGGACAATAGCTCAGTGATGCCACTATTGCACAAACCTGAATAGAGTAAAACTCTAAAGTAGTATTTCAAATATCAGAGAAAAGAGGATATTTTCAGTCTTGTGTGTGTGTGTGTGTGTGTGTGTGTGTGTGTGTGTGTATGTGTGCGTGCTGCATTCAAACCACAAGGGTTGATCTCAGGATCTGGGTGCTGTCTCTTCAGTTTTTCCACTCAAGATTCATTGGTTATTTTGAGATAGGCCTACACCTGAACCCCAATCTTCTCATTTTATGGTTCTCACTTTAGCTGGAATGTCAGGTGTATGGCACTATATCAAAGTTTGCATTGAGATGGGAGCCATGAGAACTCCTTTACATGGACTGGTCTGGGTGCATGATTCTTCTGATCTCACTGCCAATGTACCTTGAATGACAGGCAAACAACAACACATACCTAGCTCTTGATTGAGAAGGGGCCTCATACATTTGACCTAGGCTGGCTTCAAACCTGTATCCTTCTGATCTTGGCCTCCCAAACAGCTAGGATTACAGATGTCAGCCACCAAGCCTAGCTGAATAATGATTACAACTCTTTTTTTTATTTAAAAAAATTTTATTTTCTTGGAAAGATGCTGTACAGAGGGATGTTTACAACTTTTGTTGAGTCAGACAGCAAGATGGACTATCAATAGAACAATATGGAACCTTTGGAAAAGTTAAATACTTAATAATTTTATATCAAACAGTTCTTAATGAATATACGCTTATGCATCACACTGAGCAGAACAATGTGCTTTTGAGTTCACAAGAAAACAGATGTTAGAAAGAGAT